TCATATGTCCTACTTGGGGCCCAGAGGAGTGGGAATTTGCCCAACCAGCTCGAGATGTTGTGCCACCTTGCAACTGCAGAGGCTAGAGCTCGAAGGGGCTCTGGATCTCATCCAGTGTCTATTTTAGAACTGGGGGTGCTGAGGCCCAGAGAGAGGAAGTGGCATGCTTCAGTTCACATGGCCTTGTATGGTGGAGGTGAACCCGGAATTTCCCAGTACGCAGGCCCGGGATCTTTTCTAGTGCCCTACCCTGTTTGGGAAGGGGGAAGCAGAGAAGCTGAGAAAAAGCCCTTGGGGGAGCTGCTGCTTTGCTGGCCCTCAGGCTACCCTTGGGGATCCTCCCTCAGTCATGGTCCCTCCTGACCCAGCCCTACAGCGGCCCCGTGGGGAGGAGTGCCCTAGGGCACCCCCCCCAAGGGTGGTGGAGGACTTCCACAGGGCAGAAAGAGAAGGACCGCTAACTCCCACTTCTTTCAGTGCGTGTCAGCATATTTCAGGGGCGTGTGCAGGACACAAGATACCATAGGGGACGCCAAGAAACTTTGCACTGATCTGAAATTTCCCAGGGAGGCCACCACCCGGGAGAGCAGCGATGTCCCAATATGAGAGACAGCCTACAACTGAGGACCACTTGCTCATAAGCATTGTCAGCGCCAAGGGGGTTAGAGCCCAAGGTCAGGGGCCACTTCATTGAAAAGTAAGGCGGTAGAAGGAGGCAGGGTTGAGGCATAGTCCCTGAAAGTGTGAAGAGGAGTAGGAAAGGCATTCCAGGCAAGGGGAAAAGCCAGAGCAAAGGATGGAACCTAGCTGTCTCTCTGGGTGTGGTAGTAGCCACCTGGAGGGGAGAGGGGGCAGGTGCAAGGAAATGAGGGGCGATGAGGCTGGGAAGGTGGCATGGAACCCTCAGTGCAGAGCCTCATTGCCTCAAATATCAGGCAGGGCATTTGAGCTTTCTTTCCTGGTCAGTGGGACCACTGAAGGTAGTTAACCAAATTGGGTGATGTGGTGGCAAGCAGGGCCTGGACTGCCTGGGAAACCCACCTCGAGACTCTGCCATTATGAGGTGTTGGATCTTGGGCCAGTGCTTCAGCCCCCTGAGCCTCTGTTTCATCATCTGTGAAGTGGGGATGTTGACAGTGCTTACCCCTGAGAGCGGTTGCAAAGATGATGTGGAGCTATTGTTCGCTGCTTGCCTTGGAAATTGTTCAGAAGATGTCAGCCCCTGCCTTGCCTCCTGGGTGGCAGCAGGTTGGGTTCATGGAGGCTGGGATAGCAAGAAGGAAGCCCTTCCGAAAGCAAGAGGAGCTACAGATATAGGAGCTATTTTCCTGTTTACTCCCAGTCAGGGCAGGTCTGAACCTAGAAGTACATTTGGTCCAAATGGGCCAGGGTGTGAGTGATGGAGGGCAGAACGGGGGTCCAGGGCCTGCCCACCCAGGAGAACATTCCCGCTGTGCCAGGGTACAAGGCTGCCCTAGGTTGCCAGGCCCAAGCAGCATTCCCACTTCTCCCTGGGAGAGATTCCCAGGACACTTGAGCCCCCGGGAAGGGAGATCCTTTCCTCTATTGTTAGGAGCAGAAGTTTTGCAGTTCAACAGATAGAGGTTTAAGCCTTATCTTCACAAGTCAGTCTTTTGGTCTTGGTTTCTCTTTCTGAAACCGAGGAATGATGGCGTCCACTGCATAAGATGGGGGGGAGGGTTCAATGAGGTGTAAAGTATGTCATGTGCTTGGTTAGCACAGTGCAGCCAGACAGCTGTCCTCACTCCCCAGACATTTACTGAGCACCTGGTGGATGCCAGGCTCTGTAGCAAGGGGAGGAACAAAACTCTCAGGAAGCTTGTAGCTCGGTGTGGGGAGACAGAGAAGTAAGCTGTCACCTTGAGACGGGGGTAGAGACGCTGGAATTGGGGAGGCACGGGGTGTTATGGGGACGGGGGTGTGGAATGTGTGCGCCCACGTGTCGGCCTTCTGGAGGAGAGACTATTTTTACTGAAATGTGAAGAGGAAATAAAGCAGGTTGGGGATTGGGACTGTGCAGGAAGAATGTTCCAAGTGGGGGTGAAGTCACCTGCTGTGTGTTAGGTTCTCAGGGTGGACAAGAACTTGTGAGGCCAGGTAGTACTTGGGTGAGAAAACGTGGCCTGGCCCTGAGGTTTTCACAAGCCGGTGGAGAGGTTGTTTCTCCGGACTGTGGGTCGCAGAGGTGAGAGGCCATAAGGGAAGGATGCTTCTCACCTCTCAGAGCAGTGCTGCCTGGGAGAATTCAGCCTCACATGGTTCTTCCTTCTTCCGTGATGTTCCCCACCCAGTTCCTGCTGCCCCATAATTCTGGGGGTCATCTCTGGGGGTCTGGCATGACTGCATTTGTCCGCTGCAGCTTCTGTCCCCATGTAGCATGGGCTGCGGCCTGAGCACACTGCTCATCAGGAAGCCTCGGGCCCTGACCCTCAGTCCCAGAGACAAGCCTCAGGGCCATTGCCTGGAGAGAAGGGGAAGTTACCAATAATGTGACTAAAGAATATGGTGGAATGGGGGCAGGAGAAGCTCCCCACCCCCACCCGCCGGGGTGATGGTGGGCAGTGGGGAAGGCACAGCTCCCTGAATGGGGTTCCAGGACACTTGGAGTCCATGCGCAGCCATTGGAGGGCTGTAGTGGGGGTACTGGAGTGGGGCCATCTGTCCGGGTCCTACTTCCTGACCTCCCCTGTCCCTACTGTCCTTTCTGCAGGGCCAAAGACCCTGCTTTGCCTTGGGAAAGGACTTTGACACATTTTCAAAATAAAGTGGAGAGAAATCTCCAGAGGGGAAAAAGGATAAACAAGCTTAAAAAAAAAAAAGCAAAAGGGAATGTATTATTTATTTTCAAAGTCAGGGGAGGCTTCAGCCAGCCTCCTCGAGTGAAAGTTTCCAGCCACTCTGACATGAGGTCTCAGAGACTCTGGGGAGCCAGGAAGTTTGGGATGTGGCACCTGGACTGTCTTCCAGCCAGACTGAGACCAGTTCAGCGAACAGTTAGGACCACCTTCAGCCTGCCAGTCTCTGTGCTCTGCACTGCAGGCGTCAACAAGTAAAGACCCCAATCCTCCCTCCAGCTGAGGGTTCGGTAGAGGAGCTAGGACAGTGACAGCAAGGACTGTGGGCAAAGGAGAGCGTGACAAATGTCATAACCAAAAGGTTAAATAAGCACCAAGGGACTGGGGAGGAGAATTCATTTCTGGGCTGTGTGTGTGGCCGGGGATGGGGGGCGGTACTCAGTTCCTCCCTTTGAGGAAAGCTTTTAAGTCTAGCTGAGTTGAGTTAGACTTAGAAGCCCAGCTAGGATTTTGATGGGCAGATCAAGCAGAAGGGTTTCTAGGTAGCTCAAATAATGTGAGCAAAGGTACAAGGTGGGAAATTCTTCAGGACTTCGAGAAATAGGGACACTTGATTTTCTTAAACATGTATTTATTTATTTACCTTTATTTATTTAAAACTGCTTTATTGAGATAATAAGTCACATACTTTACCACTCACCCATGTAAAGTGTACAGTTTACAAAGTTGTGCAACTAATACCAAAATCAATTTTAGAAAATCTTTGTCACTCAAAAAAAAAAAAAAAAAAGTCCTGTTACCCATTAGTAGTCACTCCCCTTTCCCCCAGTCCCAGGCAACTACTAATCCACTTTCTGTTTCTACAGATTTACCTAGTCAGGGTATTTTGTATCAGTGGAATCCTACAATGCATGGTCTTTTGTGACTGATTGTGTCACTTGGCATTAAGGTTTTCTTTTTCTTTTTTTAAAGATTTTATTTTTTTCTTTGACAGAGAGAGAGAGAAATAGCACAAGTGGAGGGAGGGACAAAAGGGAGAGGGAGAAGCAGACTCTACGTTCAGCAGGGAGCCGGATGTGGGACTCTATCCAAGCACCCTGCGACTGAGCCACCCAGGTGCCCGAGTGGGATGTTTGCAAGATTCATTCATGTTGAAATATCAATACTTCATTCCTTTTTATTTTTTCTTTGCCTTTATTCCTCTTTATGGTGGAATAGTATACATGGATATACCATATTCACCAGTTGATAGACATTTGTCTTATTTTCACTTTGAGACTATTATGAATATGCGGCTGTGACATTTGATGTTTTGGTGCGGATGAATGTTTTCAGGACATTCCACTTGGAATGGAGTCTAAGACCATCATGGTGGGGAGTGGGATGGGACTTGGTGAAGCAGAGCGACCTGCTCCCCCACTGTGAACTCTGGGCAGCTGGGTGGGAGTGAGAAGGGTAGGCTCCTGTTCTGTCCTCACAGAGAGCCTGTGGCGCGTGAGGCCAGGGCAGGACCATCCCCCTATTGACATGTACCCGCAGGGTTGCATCCGATCTGACAGCTGTTTGTGACACTGGGGATAGCCTGGGCAGCTGGTATTTTCCCTGGAAATCAGGTGCATTTTTTTCCTGTGTCCTGCCGAGGGCCAAAATTAGTTAGACACTTAGAGAAGTGTGAGCTACACAGTTAGTCCAGAGGAGGGGAGTTTGTCAACAGGAAGCTGGCCAGCCGGGGAAAAGAGGTGGTCAGGAAGACAGAGGTTAATAAGCCAAGTGTAAACCGAGGCTAGACTGCAAGGCTCCCACCCCTCCCATCCTCACACAGGGCAGTGGTTTGTTTACAGGAAATGCTGCAAGTTTTTCCCTGGCCCCATTTGACAGATCGGGAAACAGAGGTACTGCATTAAAGGGATCTGCCATTCAGAGACAGAAATGGGACCAAAGTTAAGGTCTCCGCTTCTGCTGTGAACAGCAGGTTTGGTGCAACCCAGGCCTTGCCCTCAGCGCTGTGCCTGTTTTTGAGTTCACAGGAAAAGACAAGACACAAAACCAAGAAAGAGTTTGAGTCTTCTAAAAAAGAACACCAAACTCCACCCTAACCCCAAAGTGAAAACACAAAACAGGGCTTTAATTAATGTCTTTTCTTCCTTTCTTTCCTTCCTTCTTTTTTTTTTTTTTGTTCTCCAGCCAGAAAACATTATGTTGTTAGACAAGAATATTCCCATTCCACACATCAAGCTGATTGACTTTGGCCTGGCTCATGAAATAGAAGATGGAGTTGAATTTAAGAACATTTTTGGGACGCCAGAATTTGTTGGTGAGTTTTAGGCCTGCTTCTCTCCCACCTAAGCATCTGGGATCCAAAGGTAGAGAAAGTCTGGGAACAAACCCCCTGTGTCTAGGGCTGTGGTCTCTAGGCTGAGAGAGGGTGCCTTGGAGACCCTCCCCCTTAGAAATATAATGGGTGGGGAAGGAAATGTCCTGCTGGTTTTCTGGGTAAGGGTCTGGGTGTTGGCTTTGAGCACCCAGTGGGAGGGGGAGGCCAGAAAAGGCCTTTGCAGAGCCAAACTCTCCGTGAGCTGGCCCCACCCCCTGCTCTTCATTGAATTTATTGTGAAGATTTAAAATTAACTTGCCCTCTGGCATTCCCATAAACTCAAGTTTCTCTGGAGCAGCTTTTGATTTCCTGAAAAGGAAAAGGGAAATCATCTGCCAAATGCCAGATCCACCCACTCACCTCTCCTGTGTGCCTGGCCTTTATTCGTGCAGCTGTGTCTTCCCTCTCATTCTCTCAGCCTTGGCTCAGGCCCCAGAAGCCCCCTCATGGGACTGGGACTGTGCAGGTTGGGGGTCCTAGAGAGGCAGCCTTGAAGAGGGGAGAGGAACGAGAATCGAGGACCACTGTCTCTCTCTGCTTTGGGAGATGGAGTGGTCTTGGAAATGGAGGGAGGGCATGGTCTCCCCAAAACCTGGAGGCGGAAACTTCTGACCACAATCTAATCAAAAAGGAAAACAGAATGTGTCAGATCATCCCTTCTGCTGGATTTTCGGGTCACACATGCCAGTGCTACGGCTCTTCTAGAAGGGTGCTGTCAAGGACCCAAAGACCCCAGGGTAGGGGAATATTGTTGTGTGCCAGGCACTATGCTGGGGGTCCTACAAACATTATCTCAGTTAATCTTCAAACAACCTCATAAAGCAGATTTAATTATTTTCTCTATCAAATGCTTTGTTCATGGCAAAACGACGAGTAGGTTGTAAAGCTAAGATTCAAATGTAGATACATCTAGGGGCGCCTGGGTGGCTCAGTGGGTTAAGCCTCTGCCTTCAGCTCAGGTCATGGTCCTGGGGTCCTGGGATCGAGCCCCGCATCGGGCTCTCTGCTCGGCGGGAGGCCTGCTTCCTCCTCTCTCTGCCTGCCTCTCTGCCTACTGTGATCTCTCTCTGTCTGTCAAATAAATAAATAAAATCTTTAAAAAAAAATGTAGATACATCTAACATCAAAGCCTGTGCTCTTTTGGTTACACTGGGTTGTCTTTCTAAAAAGATCTTGCCCCCAGGGGGCGTGCAATTTAGTTGTTGAAATAAGACATCAAACCACCAAGTAACAGTGCTAGAAGGATCTGTTTGGGTCATCGATCTAGTTTAACAAGTGTGGAATTGGAAGGCTACAGGATGTCAGTTGAGGTCAACCAATGGTTATTCTTCATCTACTTTATGACAGATGTTTGGTGAGATACTGGGGACACAGTGATAGCAAGGAGGCACACTCAGAATGACACATCCAAGGTTACACAATGAGCTGGTGGCACAATCAACTTGAACCCGGGGCACAAGACAACCATTCTTGAACTTTGTCCAAGATAGCAGTTGCTTTCCTCTATTCATGTGTGTGGTAAAATGTGTATATGTACTTGGTTAAGTTCAAACCAAGTGTTAATCAACAGTAAATGGTTCAGCTAGAAATTGAGGGCAAGAGTGGAAGAAATGACACAAGACAGCATATGATTAATTATAAAGTGAATGATGGAGTTATCTCTGGAAGCCTGTTCAAATAAGATGTCCACTCTGGCAGAGTCAGTGGGATCAGTCATGCCCTTGAGTCAAACAGAGACAAAGGGCTGGTGTTATGGATGAGAGAAGTGTCTGAAGAGGGATGAGGACAGAGTCAGGGTAGAGGAGGAGCACATCCCAGGTTCAGTTGTTTATAGCAGGGTGTAGGGCCAGAATTAGTGCATTTATTGGGGATGGTTCACTGTCCACTCTGGATGGAGTAGGAAGTTCGCATCAGACTAGCCATGTGAGTGGGATATTGACGAGTAGGCCAAACTGTGGAGGGTTTTTTCCACTGCTATGCTGTTAAATGTCTAACAACTGGGTCTCAACACAAAACACAACCCTAATTTATAGCATTTGCCAATTTTAAGCTACCAATTTTAAGCTACCAATTTTAACTGGTCACTGAATTCAGAGTTGGAAAGAGATGCCCACAGTTGACTCTGGTGAGCCCATATAACCCAGCTCTAGCCCAGAAATGGTTTTGTTTGTACCTTACAGATATATAGGGTGATTTTTCTAGGTCCGTGTCCAAATTAGAATGACTTTCTTTACCCAGGACTCCTGAGAAGTAGGGTTATAATCACTTGTCCTACTCCCACCATTCCTTTGAAATTTGAACCTGAGACACAGTATTGAAAAGTTAACTAGTCAGCCTCTAGGAGTGTAGTGGATCCAGTCTTCCAAAAGCCTTCCTGCTACAAAACTGGATTCTTGAGGAAAATATTCTTTTTAAGGAAATTCTGGACTCATAGCAAATAAGAGAAGTGTTTAAGTGTAGTAACTCCTCCAGCACCACTAACCCCACCTCCAAAGCCAGTGAAATGAACTTAGAGCTGGGTCTGGGAGCCTCAGAGGAATTCAGTAGGAGGACCTCTCCCAAAGGTGCATATCAGCATTTCAATGAAAGACCAGTAAGACTTAGACATCTGAGGACATAAGATACTGAAATTATCACAGGTTGACTATAAAATAAATGGAATGTATATAGAAATAAAAGAAACACAAGAATGAGCAACAAGAGGCTGTCAAAAATGAACAGGCAAATTCTAGAAAGAACCGGATAGAAATTTGAGAGATTTAACATATACTCCTAGAAATTTAAAATTCAGTGAATGAGTTACACAGAAGGTTTACACTGCTGAAGAGAAAATTGAAGAATTGAAAGGCAGAGCTGAAAAATAATTAACTAGAATACCACTGAAGGACAAAGACATGAAAATATGAAATAGAGGACAAGTATAAGAGGGTAAAAATGGAAAGCTTAACTAACATAGGTCTGTTTGGAATCCCAGAGGAGGGAATGAAGACAAAAGAGGAGCAGCATTTGAAGAAAATGGCTGAGAATTTCCAGAAGTGTTGTAAAATCATGCACGCCCAGTTACAGAAAGGACAATGTATATCGAACAGAAAACAATAAAAATAAATCCATTATAGTTATACTATAGTTGACATTACAGTTAAACTATAAGGTACCAAAGACAAAGAGATCTTAAAAGCAGCCGGAGAGAAAGGACAGATCACCAATCAATCAATCAATCAATACAAATTTAAAAAAATTAGACTGACAGCATACTTCTCAAAACAACAATGGAAACCAATGTCCAATAGAATATTATCTTCCAAGAACTGAGGAAAATTTTTAAAAAACAGTAATTAGGGAGCATCTCTTTACTTGCTAGGTGGGATGCTGATTGATTCATGAATTGCTTAATAAAGTCAATTACATACTAAAAAAAAAAAAAAAGGACCCCTAACTGCATACCCAGGAATGTTATATTTCAAGAAAGAGGGTAAATGATTCAGACAAAACACAGCAAAAAACAAAAAATCAAAAGTGAACAACAAGAAAGACAAACCATGAAATAATTAACCACCAACAAGCATGTATTAATGGAACTACCAAAGATGTGCTTGTGAATTAATGACCTTTTGAGGGAAAGTCTCAATGCAAGAAGTAATAAGAGCAAAGAAATGAGTAAACATTGGACAAATATAAACATTTTCTGTTTAAAATAATGATGATGATGATGATGTTTGTGGGGTTAAAAAAAGAACTAAAAATGGAAGAAAATGATGTTAGGACAGAGGGCTTAAATGAGTGTTTTAAGGTTCTTGTATTGTTAGAAGAAGGTCAAAACACTGCTTTATGTTAGAATTTGTTAGATAGCCATCCTAAAGTCTCAAGGGTGGCCATTACAAAAATGTAAGTAGAGGGGGAAACAATAGGAAAATTAATTAAAAAAACTATCAAAGAAAAAAAAAACAAGAAAGAAGAAGAAAAGCACAGAAGAAAATGGACCAATAAAAGCACACAGAGGACAGAAGTGAGTGTATATGCATATCAAGCAGACAAGCCTGGAAAGTGAGTTGTGTTTCTCAAACTCTCTGTGATGAAAGACTGAAAAAAAAATGTTTTCAATCTGTCCAGGACTGCTTTTTCAGTAAGATACTAGAAAAATAAACCCCTAGAAAAATTATCACAATTTGAATGTCATGGCAACGTCAAGTTGCTCTGTGGGTTTCTAAATGCTTACTCCCAATTTTTGTACCACTGTGTCTGGACCAGTGACTGTCTTCAGACTGCACCTTAAATCACTGTCCGAGAGGAAGTCTTTCATGTTTGTGAGGAGACGTGTGCAAAAAGTTCATAACAGTGTTGTTCTGATGAGAAAAGAAGTGGAAACCATCCAAATGATCACTGAGGAGAAGACGCTATATGTTCGCACCGTGGACTACTACATAGCAGTGAAAAAGAAAGACCACGGATGAACCCTGAGTGAACACTAGAAGCATAATGTTAGGTTGGGGGGGCAGGTGACTACATCATATCCAGTAAGACATCATTTTTAAGAAGCTAAAAAATAAGCAGAGCCAGAAAAGTGTTTCCTTGTGTCTTGAAGTAGAGTGGTGGGAAGGTGGGCACACCCCATAGATGCCGTGGGTTTGCTATTGTTCTAGATGAACAAACGTAGCCTTTCCTGCTCTCTCCCTATTTTCCATTATGATCAGACAGGCTCAGCCCTTCTCTCTTCTCTAGCTACTCACCTCTCTTTCTCCTCCATTTCATGGCCAAGCTTTTTTTTATGGTGTCATCTACACTCTTATCTCGAAGTCTACCATCCTGTCACTCTCTAGACACTACTCACTTTCCAAGTGCTCGTGTGTTTGACCTTCATGCAGCACTCAGCCCTCTTCTGCGGTGGGTAGAATCTTCTTTCCTAGACTGCACCCACTCCTGGTCACCACATCATCCACGTATCTCCTGTTTCCACCTGTACAATGACTTCAGATTTGATGGCTCTGCCTCCCTCTCCTGTTCCCAGGACATCTTTGTCTGGATGTCCCTGGGGCACCTCAGGCTCATCATCTCATTGGCCCCAGAATGTCTTCATTCTCCTCAGTAGGGAGGTGCCCCTCTTTCAGACCAGACTCAGGGATTTGGATTCCCTTTCTGCCTTCTTTTCTTCATTATCACCTTCCAGTGCTGACCTGCCTGGTTTCCACCAGAGAGTTCTAAAACAGGCCTTGTTGCTAGGCCCCATTTCCCCTTCCTGCATCTTCCTCATGCCACCCTGCGCTTTCTCTTCAGGGTGTTCCTCTCCCCCACCATCAAGGCCTCTGTGTAAAAGCCTCCCACCAGAATAACAGGCAACTTCATTTCTCGAGATTCTTAGACCCAGAATTATCTCCATCTGTTGCTCTGATTTTTCCTTAGTGAGGATTCAGGAGGGAGACATTTGTCACCAAACACCCTAAAATTCTCTCTAGCCTTATCTTCTCATCTTCATTCTCCTGCTGATTCTTCAATCTGGCTTCTTTCAGCTCCAGAAATTGTGAACTACGAGCCCCTGGGACTGGAGGCTGACATGTGGTAAGTTGTGCGGCCACCTAAGTGCCTTAGGGATTCTTTCAAGGTCAGCAGGCCTCAGACCCCGGCTCTGGCTGACATCCCCCTCGACCATGAAAACCCCTTTCTCCACACATTCGGAGCCTCTGGCTGCTCCATGTGTGCTGGACCCATGGCCCTGGCAGCTGGAGGCAGCCAGGCCCAGACCTGAGGCCACTTAGAACATGGCCGAGGCAGGGACAAGGGGAGAGGCGAGGCTGCAGGTGCAGGCTCAGCCCTGAGGCCTGGCGCAGTCATTATAAAGAAATAGTAACAATAGCTCATTCTGTTAATCAACCAAGTGACTGCCCAGAGCCTCTTAGGCTCTAACCACGGTGTGGGGCCCAGGGGTACTGTAGAGGATTTTCTGCACAGACAGAACTCATTTCACTCAACAGTGCCTGATAGGGGCCAAGTACCTTGATTGCCTGGTTTTCTAAAATCCTCCCAGCAGTTTTGTGAGGTAGTTATTATGCTCCTTTTATGAGGAGAAAGAGGCTCAGAGATGATAAGGGACTTACCCAGTAACAGCCTGCCAGTTCAGGAGTCTGAACTTGGGTCCTTAGCCTGAATGTCCAGAGCTCAGTGACTCCACACACATCCCAGGCTGCTGCTGAAGAGTGGGACTGAGAGGGCCATGGACTTGAGATGGCATCTTTAGGCCTCCATGAAGGGGCAGGTGACCACATCCCCTGGGGACCGTGCAGGGGAGTCCCTTGCTGGGCTGGGGTCAGAGCCGCGTGGCTCTGACTGGCCTGTTCTTTGTTTTGCAGGAGCATAGGCGTCATCACCTACATCCTGTAAGTATCCCTGATGCCGGGACCCCGACCTCGCTTGGATCAAGGGGCCCCGGGTGGACTCAGAGAGGGCCAGACAGACAGGCAGACTGAATTTAATGATTTTCCCCATTTACTCATTTATTGTGAGCCAGATGTGTTCGATCCCCACCTCACACCTCCTGGTCTGTGCTCTCAGCTCCAATTCAGATGCTTGGCCCCAGCGTGGAGGCTGAGCTTTGTCCCTATCTCCACTGCCGCCCAGTATCCCCCACTTGACCTCACCCGGGCTGCATGTCCGTGAGAAAGTCAGCTTTCACCCAGAAGCCTTGGTCCAGCCCTCTGGCGGCCATGCCTTCCCTGACCCCAAGTCTTTCTCCCCGGTCTCCCCTGCCTTCCCCGGCTCTCACAGCCTCTCTCGTTTCTCCCTAGAGCCTCATTCCCAGCCCTGAAGTATGAAGTTGCTCAAGCAGTCATTTCCTGTGTAGCCCACGTGTAGGGAACCTGCCACTTTCTATCTGTGTGGCCTTGGGCAGACACTTAACCTCTGGGCCTGTTTTCCTCCTCAGAAAAATAGGAATCTCAAACTTCCTGCCCGCGGGTGTGCTGTGCGGGTTAAGGAAGCGGACACGTGCAAACTACCCGGGCAGCTCTGGCTGATTAGTAGGTCTTCATTCCAGGGGGGCTTTCCCACACTTTGCCCCTGACCACGCACCTGGGACGTGCTATTTTTAGGGCACACTGGGTCAGAGTCTAGTGGCTGCCAGAGGTGATGTGGGGGCGTCAGCACCCAGAACCCCTGTCCGCCAGTTCTCTGACTTTTCCAGCAGCCCACAGACTGGGAGCTCTGTACAATGTGGAGGGTGGCGATCCTGGCTGCACATTAGACCTTGTAATACCTACCACTGCCCTCAACCCCCTGCAGAGCTATTACATCAGAATTGCTAGGGATGGGGTCTGGGCATCAGTATTTTTTAATCAGGTTTTTTTTTAAGGTTTATTTATTTCTCTTTAGAGAGAGACAGAGAGAGCACAAGTGGGGGAAGGGGGGGTAGAGGAGGAGGAGAGAGACTCAAGCAGACTCCCAGCTGAGCACAGAGCCCCACACAAGGCTCCATCCCAGGACCCTGAGATCATGACCTGAGCCGAAATCCAGAGTCAGACACTTAACGGACTGAGCCACCCAGGAGTCCCTGGGGATCAGTATTTTTGAAAAGCCCCAGAGGAACTGGACACAGAGGAGAACTGGATCCATTGCTCCATGTTTCCAGATTCTGCGCTGGCTCTTGAAACCTTGATTTTTTTTTTTTCCAAAACTCTGATTTCCATACTGAAATATTGAGGAATTCGAGTGTGTACCAGGCACATAGCCTTCTTGCAGCTCATTTGAGTCCCACACAGTTTCTTGGGTGCCTGCTCCATGGTGGGCTCTGGGCCAGGCACTCAGGATGCTGCCATGAAGGAGGTCTGCCCTGCTTGCCTGGAGCTTCCCGTGTCAGGAGAGACACCACACAGCTAAGTCGCACTCAGTGGGACCAAAGTCACGCTGGGTGTATGAACACACCTCTGTGAGACATAGCTGGGAGAGGCACTGGTTTGCTGGGGCTGTGGAAGATTTAATGAGGGAGAGACAGATTCATTTGAGCTGGGCTATACAGAATGAGATTAATTCTCCAGGTGGAAAGGGAGGGAAGGGCTGTCTGCTGAGGAAGGAAACAGTGTGCCTGGTAAGTGTGGTGAAGTGTACTGAGGAGGTGGTAGGGACTAACTTCTGATGTCCTGTTCAGGAGTTTAGATGTGATCCTGTAGAAAATGGGGAGACATAGAAGGTTCTTTGTGTTCAAAGACAGAAATCATGGCCACTGATTCCAGAGCACTTAGTATGGGCAAGACTACCTGGAGCATTGTCAGCGTATTATTTATTCTTTGTAACAATCATGTGAGGTGGAGGCTTTTATTTTCTTCATTTTATGGAGAAGGAAACTGCAGCACAGAGAGGTTGTATAACTTACCTAGGTTCACACAGCTACTGATTAGTGGAGCTGAGATTCAAATCCAGGTCTGGAATAGCAAAATTTTCCCAGTGCACCTTGCTGCCATTGTGCCAAGAAAGCGACAGTGGGGATAGGGATGGCCTTCAGGAGATATTTAGTAGGTAAAACCAACAAGAGTTTGAGGCTGGTTAGATGTGGTGAGGAAAGGGATGGGCGGGTCAGAGGTGAGCCCTGTGTTCTAGCTTGGGAGTATCTGTGGAGTGACATCATTCATCAAGGCAGGGAGCTCATGGAGGGAGCTTAGGGCACAGTGACAATGACACATCTAGGGAGACATATCCCATAAGCTGGAATATGAGTCAGGAAACAGTAGATTTGGGAGTCACTATCTGAACGACACATTCTTGACAAACCCTGCAGAGGAACCTCACATACCCTTCCCACTCTAATGGCCCATCTGTTTCCACACCTCTCAGGCTTGGCTCAGGCTGCTCCCTTAGTCTAGAAGACTTCATCTCCCCTGACTGCTGACAACCTCTTCATTCTTCAAGACACAGCTGATACTAATGTCAGCTCCGCCGTGGAGCCTGCACTGGGTGTCCCCTCTGTCCTGTGCTCCCCCCAGACCTTCGTCTGGTCTTCTGTTATATTCTGTTTTATTCTGCTTGAGATTACGAAGTCTTCGCTGTGTTTTCTCCCCTCCTCTTCCAAGTTCCTGGGACACAGTTTCTATCACGTACTTACTGGGAGCTCCATGAAGTAGATTGAGTCGGACTCAGTCGAGAAAGTGCTGACTGGCTGCCCAGAGGGGGCAGCTGATGCCTCCGGCAGCTTCCCATCCCCATGCAATAGTACGAGTCAGGGTTCCCTCACTCCCTCAGCCCTGACTCCCTCTACTCACCTACAGTAGTCACACAGTCCCTCTCTTTGTATTCAGCCTAAGTGGAGCATCTCCTTTCCTGGGAGACACGAAGCAGGAAACGCTAGCAAATATCACAGCCGTGAGTTATGAGTTTGACGAGGAATTCTTCAGCCAGACCAGCGAGCTGGCCAAGGACTTCATTCGGAAGCTTCTGGTTAAAGAGACCCGGTAAGATAACAGAGAAAGGCATGGGTTTCTGAGGTACTGATCTTCTCCTGTCCCCTCTCCTGAAGACATGTCAGTCTGTCCCTACTTTGCCACGGGCTGCCACATTCACCATCGTTGTCTAATCTGGGCAAGTGCTGAGAAGCGTGGATTAGCTGAGACTTGGCATTCATCTTGCTTGCTCAGGTCTTTCTGCTTTCTTTCCTGCCAAAATACAAATAAGTCTGTGTGTGTGTGTGTGTGTGTGTGGGTGTGTGGGTGTGTGTGTGCATGCACGTACACACATGTGTTTGGACGTCAGCCTGCATTTCTCTAGGGCACATTATGTTTTCCAGTCTGTCCCAAAGGCACCTAGAACTAGGATTTGAAAAAGAAAGTGGCAGAGTTTCTAAACCAATCCAGATGGGACTTGGTGGGGGAGGTGGACTCAGAGGGGTCAGTAAGTGGGAAAATAAGAGACATGCTAATCCTACCCCTTCTTAGGGCCTAGGGAGAGCCCTGTAGCTACAGAGTCAAAGCAGGAGGTAGGCAGGGAATGGTAAGATGCTGGGTGCCCAGAGCATGGACTAGATGGGACAGGAATGAGATCTACAGATTCTAGAAGGCCATGTCCTCTTGGTCCCACAGACTTCAGAGAGAGCCAGAATGGGGTCCTCAAAAGAGTAGGGTCCTGGTTTCCCCATCTAATGGCAGTGCTAGTTCAGATCCCTACCAGAGCAGGGAAGGGCTGAGAAGGGATCTGGGAAGCAAATAGAATAGCACAGAGGCTTAGTGGTCTGTGTAGAACTCAGCTCACAAGAGCACTTGTGAGTCTCATAGAGTGTGTTGTTAGGCCCTTTGAGTTTGCGGCCAAAGATGAGGGTTTATGTAATGTCACTCTACGGAGGGGGTCTGCCTGGACCACTTTGTCTGGAATGCAGGGAGTTCAGCCAGTTCCCCAACCAGCTCTGCGTTCCTCATCATTCTGGTTCAATGGCAGTGGTCAAAGAATGCCACAGGGCGGGTCTGACAAAGAGTGAAGATGGAGAACGTTGCTCTCAGCTTCTGTCCTCCTGGATCGTCACTGTTTTCTGATCCTCATTGCAGGAAACGGCTCACAATCCAAGAGGCTCTCCGACACCCCTGGATCACGGTAAGGGCATGGTGTGGAGTGCCAGTCAGCAGGAGGTCTGCAATCCATCGCCAGGGCCAGGTGGGGTGGCCAGATGCAGAGGGCCCACGGGAAGACCTTTGCTAGAAACCCCCACCCTTGGGCATAGATAGATGAAAGCCAGGCCGGGGTGCTAAATAGTCTGGGTTTGCTCAAATAGGTTCATAGGTTTAAGTTAATATTTCACAGGTTCGGGTGACTTATGAAATGAAGCCTTCACAAACCTCCCTTGAAACGCTTTGTCTTTGGGGCTGTCTTACCAAGTGTGCTTTCTTGGAGGACGCGTCACTGTCGTTCTCAAAGCAGAAATCAGGACTCCCAAGCTGTAGAGAGAAAGCAAAGACAATTAGAAACCTCAATTCTGTAACCAAACCTCTTTCTTTCTGGCTTTTGGGGCTCTGAGTAAAGGATGACACGCTGACCAGTCAGCCAGCTTTCTCCGGCGCCTTGAAACCTTAGGGGACAGGGCTCGGAGATGGCAGCCTAGTGTGGAGGACAGGCAGTTATCCTCAGTGCAAGGCTGTTCCCTCTGGGGAGGTGGGGGCGCGAAGGTGACGCCCCACCTAACCTGTGTTGTAACTGGCCTCCCAGCCACTAGTCTGGGGAGGGTCTTGCTTTCTAGGCACATTACAGTAAAATACTAGTTAAAAGCACTTTGCCCAGGAGTGTCTGACTGGCTCAGGTATAGAGCATGTGACTCTTGACCTTGGGTTTGGGAGTTCGAGCCTTCAAGCCCCACATTGGGTGTAGAGACTACTTATAAAAACAAACAAACAAACAAACAAAACAAAAAAAAAACCCACTTTGTTGGGGTGCAAATCAGGAGACCAGGATTACGGCCCTACTTCTGCCGACTGATGAGATGCGCACTCCCTGGGCATCTCCAGATGTCCCACTCATCTGGATCTCAAGGAGAGGCTAGGATGATCTGAGCGAGCAGACGGGCAAGGGTAGGGCCTGTGGAAGATGGAGGTCAGGGAGGGCTGGAATGCTTTGAAGTAGGTTCATCTGCCCGTTAAAGGATGGGGAAGGCCAAGGGCCCTCTAGGTTTGGAGTGGGCCCTGAGCCCAGAGTGAGAGAGTTCCTCAGGCTTAGTGTACCAAGTTGCTGAGGCCCAGCATGCCAGCCGGCCCTGAAGGAGAGCAGTCCCTCAGCCTCCCTCAGTCACCATGGCCTTGTCTGCTCCTGCCTTTGAGCGGATGCCTGCAGAGTTCTGGCTATCACCTGCTTGTCTGTGTGAGCTCCCTCAATGCTATGTGTGTGGAGACCTTCTCTAATGGCCATAGATCCCTGTCCCCCCAGCCCTGAGGTGAGCATGTGGGCAGCACCCCTGTGGTCTTGAATCTTTGTCATCGTCCGTGGGGATGCTCATCCCACCGTGGTCCTCCCTGTGGCCTGATGCATGCAGCAAATGACTACAAGGCTGCTTGTGTACCTTCTGCCTGCACCTTGAACTGCCCTTTGGATCGGGCATCAACTTAATTCTGGCTGTTCTATCCAAACACCCACTAGTCCAAAGGAGAAGTCAGAGCCCAGGAACAGCAGAAGACAGAGCCCACCCAGCTGAAGACCAAGCGCCTGAGAGAGTACACCCTCAAATGCCACTCGAGCATGCCCCCCAATAACACATACGTCAACTTCGAGCGTTTCGCCCGTGTAGTAGAGGACGTGGCACAGGTCGACCAGGGCTGCTGTACCCTGGCAGGGACCCACAACACCATCCAGGATGACGTGGAGGCCCTAGTCTCCATATACAATGAGAAGGAAGCTTGGTACCGAGAGGAGAGCGAGAATGCCCGGCACGACCTATCCCAGCTCAAGTATGAGTTCCGCAAAGTGGAGTCCTTGAAGAAGCTCCTTCGAGAAGACCTCCAGGCCACAGGGGCCGGCCTGGGAAGCATGGCCAGGAAATTGGACCATCTGCAGACACAGTTTGAAGCTTTAAGGCAGGAGCTCTCAGCAGACCTACAGTGGATCCAGGAACTGGCAGGCAGCTTCCAGCTGGAGGATAGGAACACAGATGGCCTGGGCTCCATGTTCCACAGGGATGCCAGGGAGTCCCTAGTGGAGCTGCTCGACAGATCAGCCGGCAAGGAAGCCTTGGCCAGCTTGAAGCCCTGAGTACCAGAATCTAGTCTGTGATGCAATCCGGAGGATTTGCAGAAGCATGCCTCTGAGCACCCTGCCAGGATGTCAGCTAGAATTAGTCCGTGGGGTGTGTGTCTATAGCAGAGCCTTCCACCCCCTTCACAGGATCCAGAATCAGGAAGGTGCTAGCTAGTTATTCCTTTTGCACCTCCTCTCACCAGCCTGGATTTCTGGGAGGGTGGCTGGCAGAGGCCAGGCTGTTGAAACAATTGCGAGTCAATACCCCTCCGCAACGGAGGGAGGATGGCTGGCCCTAGGGGGATGCTCGAGAATTGATTTGTGATCTTGGATTCATTCGCATCTCATTTCCCACCTCTGTGCCTTAGGGACTGCAGACCTTGAGGAATCTTTGCCTTAACTTAGGGATAACAATAAGCCAGTGTGCTGCTTTCCTGCTATGGAAGGAAGAATTTAAAATGCATGGAGAAAATATTACCTTTTACTGGCACTGACTTTTCACTTAGGAGCACTTATGTCTTTGATGTTTAAAAGAACTCTGTGAGCAGGAAGGTGGGTGATATTAGCATTGTTGTTACTATTGTTTCCATGTAACTGTGAGGAAATTGATACAGAGAGGGAAAGTGATATCCTCAAGGTCTTTCGTAGCTGTTTGATACAGGAAGACAGACCCTCAGATGAGGTCTATGGGAAGCAATAGTGAGACTTTGCTGTAAGTGTCCACCTTCACAGTAATGTTCAGCTCCAGAGGTAAAGTTAACAACTTCATCTAGTTCATGTATTCTGCCAGGTAGAGTAGAATGCCCCATACTTTTAGATGATTGTCCCAAGAAGTGGGTCCTGAAGGGTGCTGTTCGCTGTTCCTATCCAGCCCTGTCCCTGTCTGCAGATCAGTGTGCCAAGCAGGAGGCAAGGGGCAGCATCTCCCCCTTTCCCCCTTTTCCCCCTTCTGGCCAAAGGTCCCAGCCTTGTTTTAGGAATGAAGACCAAAAGGAATCGACAAGAAGGTCCCTTTTCTTATGTACTTAGGGCATTGGGGCCCTGAAAGGGCTGAGAAACTCTATGAGAGTTTAAGATCGGGAAGCACAAGCTCAGGGGTCCCCTCTTGATCCCAAGCTTTGAGCACACCTCCCTGAGGACTGTGTGAGGTCATCTCCCTGGAGGAGCCGGTCAGCCAGCTCATAGGGACAGAGCATGGTGGAGTGTGGGCCCAGCACTGGGCTAGAAGCTTGGGGGTGAGGGACCAGATGGTATCATTTCAAAGTGACTTTACAGACTCACAAAACACCCTTGTCAGATAGGCAGGATAAGTGTTATTCCCAATTTGGAGATATGGAAACAGAGAGGTTGACTTGCCCAAGGCCACAGTCAGTGGGAACCGCCCCCGGCTCCATGAGTTTACTCTCTGCTTCCAGAGCAGAGATGCCCAGGGTCACCCAACCATCCATTGACAAATAATGTTTGAGCACGTGCCAACTGCCAGTCACTTGGTTGGCACTGGGGTTACAATGTTGAGTAAAAACAGGCTCGTCTCCTGCCTTCATGGAGTTCACAGTCAGGTAAAGGATTCCCACATTAATCAAGAACATTCTACAAGTGCAAGAGTGCATGTGGAACACATTCTATGAAAGAAATGTGCATAGCCAGTAGTGGGGTTTGATCTAGTTGGGGAAGGCCTCCCTGAGGTGGTGATGCTGGAGGCGAGGTCTGGGGAGCAAAACAGGGAGAAAGAAGTGTCCCTGACAACAGAGCTGTCAGGGCCAGGGCTCGGTGGTGGAGAAGGCATGGAAGCTGGAAGGGAGAGGATAGGGTGGGTAGATGGTGTAGATGTGGCTGGAGAGAAGGCATGACCAGTGGTACTTTGCCAGATTTAAGAGCTCTGCCTTCGTCCCAAGAGTCTTGGGGAGCCATGATTGATGCCAGGCTAGTCAACAGCCTGCAGAGCTGGGTGGGGGAGGGGATGGCCAATAATGGCACAGAGGGCAAGTGGTTTGGGGCGAGACTTGAGATTTTTGACCCCATGCAAACCTACCTCCGTTTCCATTATCATGCTAGATCATTTCAAATATCACATATAATATTTGTAACAGAAACAGTTTCCATCAAATGTAAGAAACCATATTTTCATCAAATATACGATACATTGTTATTTTACATACCAAAAATAAGAAAGAAAAAAGCCAGGTGTGATAGGAGACCGCCTGACCTCCCCACCAAAGCCGGGACACCCTCCCTGAGAGGGCAAGCAGAAATAAAGCCATCGTGCAAAAAGGGAAAGCAAGGAAATGTGTGTTTCATTCTTTTTTTTTTTTTTTAAGATTTTATTTATTTGACAGACAGAGATCGCAAGTAGGCAGAGAGACAGGCAGAGAGAGAGAAGGAAGCAGGCTCCCTGCTGAGCAGAGAGCCCGATGCGGGGCTCGATCTCAGGACCCTGAGATCATGAACTGAGCCGAAGACAGAGGCTTTAACCCACTGAGCCAACCAGGCACCCCCGTGTGTTTCATTCTTAATGCTAGATAAGAGGAGCCCAGATGGGTGGTCCTCGCATAGGGGTACTTTCTGTATTTGTCCAATCGGTGTGATCTGAATGAACCTCAAGCAGAGAATCTGATGTCACATGGTCTGAGGTTGGGGGGCCCCTGAGGTCTGGCAGAAGCGGTGTGGTTATCTCCTGGAACAGCTGCCTTCACTTCGGACCAACAGTAATGATATGATGCCATTGGTTCGAAGAGAAATCCTGATTTCGGAGACGCAAAAGTGTGTATTTGGAATCAGTGGAAGATAGCAAAGCCCTGTTTCCTGTGCCTTACCTGGAAGACTGGGTACAAGTGACCTGTCTCCAGTCTCTCCAAGAACTTATTTGCCCTATCTTG